ATCAATGTAAGTCTCTTTAAGTGTGTGACCCACAATTTAAAAGTGATAACAATTGCAGCTGGTCAGGAAATGCCATTTGAGCAATGACAGACCCTAATCCAAAATGCTAACTCAGAAGCAACAGGATTTCACATACCCCACTTCCCCTTAGAAGATAACTTTGAAGTGAGCCCTCTGATAGCTTCAAAGGACAGTGTAACCCCAAATGGTGGGAACACCAGGAAACCAATACCATCTTCCAGTAAATAAGATTGTGTGAACTTTTGTTGTAAGGAAGCAAATTTACAATTTCAACTTCTAGGAAACAATTTACAGTTAAGCAATTTCCACTTCCAAATGTTAATTTACAACTGTGATATGATTATCAAAAGAACTCCTTTGATCATTTGGTATAAATACTGGTGAAATCCTACAGAATTTCGTTGGCTTCTGAAGGATCAGGAAGTGCTTAGTCTCCTGAGAATTGGAAGTCAACCCGAAAGGGCCCTTTCGCTTCTTGCATGCTTTGGGGTGGGATACTTTGTTTGCATGTTCATTTTTCTGTATGTGTTTACAATTTATATTTCTTGAAATAGAAGTGTACTGTGTGGGCAAGCTGACACAGCGTCTTGCTGTTCACCTTGTCAGGTAAACTTTGAATACTGAGCCTTTAAAAAAGAAAGATATATAAGAAGAGAGACCTTTGCTTGGAGTGTCTCTGGCCAGCGCTCAGCGTTTCCAAACTTACACCTTCCGCCTTTGGTAAAGAGGCAACACTCATGGGAACATGAACCAGAGAGGGTGTGTTGGGACACATTTTTCTCACAACATGGCCACAACCCAAAGTTTCTAGTACCTGTTCTAAGTAGCTTGGTTCCACTTTGTCAATGGCGAGGGAAGCCGTTCAGTGGACGGTCTTGGCGGTGGCGTTGGTCTGCATCATAGCGGCGGAAGCCACAAGTCGAGCACCTACAATGCAGGTGTTTACCCACTATCCTCCCGAGATTTGCAGTGCTTGCAGTGCTACGCTGATAGATTCCATCCTCCTAAAATCAGCATCGAGCTTCTGAGGATTAGCAAGCCAATGGAGAGCCAGAAGAGTGACCTTTCTTTTCACCAGGACTGGGCCTTCCATCTCCTTGTCTACGCCCACATCACTATCGATGGGAAGACCGAGTACGCCTGCAAGGTGGAGCATGAAACCTTTCGTGAACTCCAAACCCACAAACTCGAGTGGGAGTTCTGAGCAGCAGTCCTGAGGAAAAGAAGATTGGAAGACCTTTGCCATTTGAGATTTGTTCCAGCCATGCTATCCTGAACCACTTTTGTTCCTACTTTGAAATTACTGCTTTGGGGAAAAAAATATTTCACCCTATTTTGCAATTTGAACTTGAACAGTAATTCTGCCTTGTGTTGCTTTTGTTTAACTTCCTTTATTAAAATCTTCCAGATGTTTGTTTGGATTATACTGGTGAAGGGAAATATACAACCACTTTCTTATCTGGCATGTGTACTTCTGTTGTGATCTGCCCTGAGCCATTTGGGGGAGGGCGGAATATAAGCTGAAATAAATAAATAAATAAATAAATAAAAATGATGAATCTATTTTATGATGTTGGCAATATTGTATTGTGTTTATTATTTTTCTGGTATTATCAGATAGATCTCTATTTGGAATGAACCTGGATTGATCAGGGTGTATTGGGGGGTCAATTATTTTATTTAGTCTTGCTATTAGTGTTGTGGTGAAGATTTTATCATCTGTTTTGAGCAAGGAGATGGGTCTGTTTGAATTTGGATTTGACGGGTCTCTATTGACTCGGGGTGTGGGAGAGACCTGATTAGCCCTAACGTAGTGACTGGGTTGGAGGCGGGCATCAAGAAACTAAAATCCCCCATCATCTTGACCCAAATGGATGGGGCGCCAATGAAACCGTGTGTGCACGAAACCATGCCATTGCGGTTGGGGGCCAGGGAGCATTGGGAGCAACGGACTTTTGTAGTCACCCCGAACTCGCAGTTTACACTGGTGTTAGGTGCCCCGTGGCTTTTCTGTCACGACCCTTACATTCTTTGGGATGAGGGGAAAATTGAATTTATGTCACCCAAATGCCTGAGACATAAATGGATTGGGGAGAGGGGCAACCCACCCGCAGAGCTTTTCCCCTGTGCAGTCTTGACTCCGGAAGAATTGGCGATCCTCCCACCGGAGTATCACGATTTGGCACCAGTTTTTTGGGAAGAGGAGGCGGACGAATTACCTCCCCATCGTAAAACTGACTGTAGCATTGAACTCCTTCCGGGGTGTAAACTACCAAAAGGGAAAATCTACGCCATGGGCCCGGCTGAGAAAGCTGAGCTGCGGAAATTCATTGACAAAACCCTGGCCAGAGGGTTCATCCGCCCGGCGTCTTCACCCTTTGCTGCTCCCGTCCTGTTCCGGAAGAAAAAGGACGGGGGGGCTCCGTTTGTGCACCGACTATCGTGAGTTGAACGCAATCTCGGCCACGAACGCATACCCCCTCCCTCTGATTAAAGACCTATTAACAGAGGCATCCAAGGGGAAATTTTTTTCAAAGCTTGATTTGCGCGATGCCTATTTCCGTGTGAGAATCAAGGAAGGTGATGAGGGGAAAACAGTGTTCAACACACCTCTGGGGCAATTTGAATACCTTGTAATGCCCTCCAGGCTTCAAGGTATTCCGGGGGTCTTCATGAACTTGATTACACAAAAGCTTCCCACGGCAACCCCTTCGTCGTGTTCCCAAGGAATTGGGCGCTCCTTTTATCTACATTCCCGCCAGCGGGAAGTGGGCTCATTGGCTCTAACCTGGTTCAAGTTCCTTTATTATGTTATACCCTTGGGTCTGTAGTTATTCCTAACAAATCTTGTGTTCCTGATCTAACCATAGCTTTAAAATAAATTTTACTTTGTCTTCAAACGTGGATTTATTTCGAATGCATGGGGAATCGGACATTCTGTCAGAGCTGTCCTTGAAAAAGAGCTGTTTCTGTCAGAGCTCTCTCAGCCTCACCTACCTCACAGGATGTCTGTTGTGGGGAGGGGAAGGGAAAGGAGTTTGTAAGCTGCTCTGAGACTCCCTTGGTTAGTGAAAGGCATTGTATAAATCCCATCTTTCTCCTCCTCCTCCTCCTCCTCCTCCTCCTCCTCCTCCTCCTATGAACCCTGAGAGAGGAAAGGCTCATAGCAGTGTGGAAATAACATTGTAACATCTGCCTAATGTTCTCTATTATGAAGTCTATCATTTATATTCGACCAAAGTACCAATAGAAACTATACACTTTCACCTTGTTCTCTTTAAGTAAAGTTGTGTTCTCCATTTGAATTTCCCTGTATTGAATGTCTCTGACAAGAGCTACTCCAAAGAAGCACTACCAAAACCATTTTATACCACCCTCGTTAACACAAAACCCTTTTAGACTGGAGCCTTGAGCACATCTTGACTCCCATTTTTTATATATCCCCTTTTTTATTGTGCTTCTCATAAACAACAAAAAACCAGGGGAACATGATCTGAGAGGACAGTGCAAACCAAGAAAAAATACTGTGAGAAATTGATAATATTGTATAGTAAACACATTATACATCCAAAGCAATAATTACCCATCATGTTTATACATAACTAGCAGTAAAGCCCGTTGTGATAGCAATACAACGAGATCTAGAAAGAGGCTCTGGGGCAGTGCTCTGGCTTTGGGCAAACAGTGTCAATTTGCTGTGGTGACCTCAGCAGGGTATAATGACAGAGTCCACTGTTTTCTCCAGAGGAACTGATCTCTGCTACCTGAAGAGCAGTTGTAATTGTGAGTGATCTGTAGCCCTCACCTGGAGATTGGCAACAATTGTTACCCAGGACAAAATGGCTGGTTTGGAGGGTGGAGTCTATGGCAGTCTACCTGTCTGAGGTCCCACCCCTCTGCAAACCCCACCCTCTCCAGGCTCCACCCCTCAAATCCCCAGGAATTTGTCAGCATGTAGTTGGCAACCCCATCTCCTTCCCAGCTAGCCACCAACCTACCATTATCTGCCCCTTTGACTTCAGCTGACTTCTGCCCTCCCTTCTGCAGAACAGTTGTAATACTGAGTGCTCTCCAGCCCTCACCTGGAGATTGGCAACAATGGTTCCCTATGTGGGACTGACTGGTTTGGAGGGTGGAGTCTATGGCAGTGTACCTGTCTGAGGTCCCACCCCTCCTCAAACCTCACCCTCTTCAGGCTCCATCCCTCAAATCTCCAGGAATTTCCCATCTGGAGTTGGCAACCCTATCAGGACTGGCCCCAATGTGTTTTCTCCCAAAGGCCAAAGTAGGTGACAGGACCAAGCTTAGTTGCCTACCAACAGGCACTGAGGGGAATGTAGGGTTGCCAGCTCTAAGGAGGGAAATACCTGGAGGTTTGGGGGGTGGATTCTGTAGAGGGCCGGGCAACGGAGGCACCGGCCTTCCGTCGCCCGCCTTGCCCCCCCAATC